GCCCGGCCCCCCGCAGCGCCACGGCGGGCGGGACCAAACTACACCTCCCAGCGAGCCTCGCGCGCAGGCGTTCGCGCGCAGGCGTCCGCGCGCCCCCCTTGTGCATGCTGGGAGTTGTAGTCCTGGATGGGGCGCGGCGGAGGCCGCGGCTTGCCCAGGGGCACGCCGGGAATTGTGGTCGTTGCTTGTGGCAATTGGCGTTGCCCGCAAACCGACACCGTGCGGGCTGCTTGTTTGTTTGCTTGTTTGTTTGTTTATTTATTTCCGAGCCTCACGAAGACAGAATTGACTTTAGCTTTGAGCCGGGTTAGGTGTGACAAAATTTCAGGTCTTGTCCTTATTTTATTGGTGTCACAAACAAGTCGTGCTTGTCGGCTGCAGCGAGCCCCGCAGCCAGCACTACCTTCATAACTGGTAAGCTGGTTTTCCTTTTCCCAGATATTCGCAGTACGGCAGGTAGCAAGGAGAGGAATCTGCTGGAATCCAGAGCATTTCATAATGTGGCAGCCACTCACTGAAAGCCCTGCAGACACAAAACAACATTTATTTTAAGTCTTGAGAAACATCTTCTACTAAGCACAAGGGAAAAAAAGATTTAAGTGAAGCAATATTTCTAGTCCCATAGGTGTGTGAGGCTGTTTTTTTAAACACATAAGTGCTTTTTACTTTTACTCTGCTTTTTGAGTCTGTCAAGTTCATGTTTCCTTTCTTTTTCTTCTTTTTTTCATACAAGAAAGTCTGGAATCAGGTCATTAGTTTAGAAACAAAAACCTTATTTGAGAGTACTGTATAAACACATAACTCTGGACATGAGATGTTTAAAAATAAAGCTGGTTTCATGAGAATTGCCCATCTCGTGAGTGATTTTCTGCCCTAAGTAAACACTTTGCTGACAGTTCTAAGAAACTTTTAATAACCCCTGGTCTGTGTCTGCTTTTCAAGCAGGTATCTTTCTCTTGCTTTGTTTTTCAAGTATCTAGAAGTCTTCTCACCTCTGCGATGCCTGGGGAGGGCAGAAATGCAGCGCTGCATCGTGACTTGGTGCCGTGTTGAACAGAACAGCCTGCGCTTTCACAGGTGCACGGGGAGATGTGCTGTTTCCATGCACCGGTCTCCTTAGCGGCTGACGGGCCTGGGCACAGGCCGTGAGGAAGGTTGTTCTGGGTGACGTAGCAGGGGTGGCTTCCTGGGGCCTCCTGTGAGGACACCTTGCAGGTGTCTTCACAGCCTCAGAGGAGCTTGGAATTAAAAACGGTCCTTGTTTTGTGAGAGGGGGTTGATAGACGAGTGGGTTTCTTTGAGCTCAGTGTGATAAATATTCTTACTCTAAAATCTATTGGCACTTTCAAGCCGTACTTTCAAGCTGCACACATCTTGATGTGTGATGCAAGAATAAAAGGTGGCAGGAGAAATCCTTATTCAGCGCAAAGATTCGTACCTCACTGCTCCGTTGGTGCCACGTGCCTGGCAATGCAGAAGCAGCTTTTGGCCTGGCTGCTCTTTCCGTTCTCCACACGCGATGTCCGGTGGATGCTGCGATCCGGCCGCCTGGCTCCATCCCCTCCCGGGCTGCCCGGGCAGCTGCTCCAGACCGGCGCTTCTAGGAGCTACTGCTCTGCTCGTGCGGTTTGAATCGCTCGAGTCCTTGGCCTGGTGCCGTGAAGTGCCAGCAGAGGCATGCTGTAATTGCCCGTAAATGCACCGTCTGTCATATTATTGTTTAATTATTCCAGCTTCTCAGCACCACACACTGCTTAGCGTCTCTCTTGCTATCTTTATTTAATTGAGTGGAAAAAAGCGGAGACTTGTGCTTCACTTACGTCACTTTGTATTTATCCACCATCTTTGGATCCTCCTTCGAAGCCCCAGCTTTTGTATGCAGAAGCCAGCCTTTTATATAGTCAATAATGTCAATATTTAAAACATATGTTAGAAACAGAATCAATATTTTAACACATGGTAAACTCGGGCCATAAATCTCTTAACACAGTGAAATGATTGTATTATTATCCTTTGAAACACCCCTCCTCCCCCTGGGAAACAAGGAGGGGAAAGAAAACTCTTGAATAACCAAGTCCTTGTTCATACAATGCAGGACTGTTCCTGGCTTGTCACTCTGTCTGTGTCACTTCTTTCTCTTCTGTCTAGCAGCCCTCCCCTTTCTGCCGTGTTCGATGCCTTCATCTTGGAGATCCTTCATTCCCTCGCCCATCGCTGCTGATGGTGTAGTTCACTGCAGGGCTATCACCTCTTTCTTGCAATCGCCTTGCAGAGACCCCTTCCACTGCCCGCTCCTCACTGTTTCACAAACACCGCTGCGCTTTCTCCCATGCTTGCAAGGAACCCTAATAAGGGGTGTTTAAAAAATCAAACAAACAAAAAACCCCCAAACCTGAGAGTTTTTCACAGCTCTCTCCAACACTCTCCTTCCCCGCGTGGCCTACACAAAGGTGACCGCGTGTCGGCCCCCTGCCTACGACAAGCGCGTGACATTTTTCTGGTCTCACATTTAGCTTCCAGGCTCTTGGAGGCAGCGCAATCTATTTTTACATCACCTCGCGTATAAGATCAGGATGGGGCTGCTGCACATGGCCACAGCAATAATGATTATTAAGGTTGTTAGCACTCTCCTGTCCAAGTTTTCGTGTCTCTAGGCACATGGAGTTTCATGGTGTCCCTTTGGAAAATCATTCCACACCTGAATACATTTAGTTTTTCTGGATTTTTTTTTTTTTTCTCATGGATCCTCACATGAAATATTCCTTTTGCAGCTGGACTTCATACGCTGCCCGGACTGGGCCAGCACCTTTGCTGGGGTTGTGCTTTTGGCTTCCCATCACTGAAATGAGAGACTTACTTCACATTATGTTCTGGTTTGACTGATTTTTCACCCATCTCTTTCCTGGGGGAAAGAGCAATTTACATAATGATTTCGCTGTGGAACTGACTTCAGGCCTGACTGCTATTTGTCACCATTCAGGAACTCCATTCCTGGCTGCAGGAGAAGACTCAGTCTTCCTCTTTAAGACCAGCAGGCAAATGTTTTATTTCCCCTCCCATATCCCTTTTACATAAAAACTACATCTTTAAATTAATTTAAATTTGGGCTGTTCTGGGTCAGTGTGCAGTTTTATTGTATTTGGTTTTCCCTGGGGCCTCTCCCGCTCGCCGATCCGCACGTTCTCCCATGTCGGGCAGGGAATGAGCGGCTGCAGTCGCCAGTAAAACGGCTCTGGCCGGTGGCCACCCCCGTGCACGGGGCAGGGGCCGTCACAGCCGCCCTGCACGGAGGTGCCGCCGCTCCCAGGCGCTGCTTGGATGCAGCGGAGCTGGTTGTAGTAACCTCAAGCAAAACATGCAATAAAATTGTTGTGTCTTTCTACAGCCGCCCCTCCCTGAGACCTTTCCCCGTTCCTGGCTACTGTGGGAGCCTCCTTTCTCCTGCTTCACACCTTTATCAGCTACAACTGATAAGAGTGCTGAGGTGCCGGCTTCAGACCGGCCTGGTTGGACGAGAGGCCGCCTGGCTACGCAGCTGCAGACACCACAGGGCCTGCAGGAGGGACCTGCCCCCTCGTCCATCTACAACGGGGGCAGGATGGAGCCTTTTATGAAGTTCAGCGTAGAAAAATCCAGGCTACTTTTATCCTAGCGTTCCTACACGCCAGTCTGCCTGGCACTAATCTTCCTGGACCCTACAAGGTGGGATGCAAGGCGCTGCGTGAAGGGAACCCCCGTGCGCGGCTGCGGCCAGGCCCGCGCGCAGGCCGGAACCCGCGCGGAGCCGCAGCGACCAAGGTGCCGGGGAAGCCACGGCCACGTTCGGCTTGGAAACACCTTCCTGGGGAGCAGGTGGTGCTTTGCATGGAATGGTCCATTCCCCAGGGCCCCCACGAGGTCGCTGGAAAGGGAGATGTCTGCAGGCAGAGTGCCTAAGCGTAGGTTTATCCCTATGGTCTCCATAGGAAGCCTAGCACCTCTGTGGGCTTGAACTAGCTCCTGCTCCTTAGTTTGGGC